CATCCAGCGGGCAGCTGTCTGGGTTTTGGACCGTTATTACAGCGACTTCCCCGTCTATAACCCAGCTCTCCTCAACCTGCCCAAGTCCATCCTGTCCAAGAAGATGACAGGCTTCAAAGTTTACTCTCTGGATGGTAAATATAGTTTCGTCCTGGCTCTGACGTCTGTCTTTAATCCAGTAGTAAATCGTTTTTTCTTTAATTTTCGTTGCCGTTTGTTGGTCTACGTCAGAAGCAGGTGGCTTTACAGCAAGAACGGGAAACATAAAGAACTCCTTAAACTACCTGTCTGAGTTCTAATGTGCAGTCCAATACTCCCTCCTTCGGTCTTACAGAAAACACCACCAATAACTCCACAGGCCAGTCCCGGGCCATGATAGCAGCTGCTGCTAGACGGAGAGACAACTCCCACAACGAGTATTACTACGAGGAGGCCGAGATGGACCGAAGGATCCGCAAACGGAAGGCCAGGTCAGATACACTCCACGTTCCTCGTCGGCCTCGAGGGCCATTTATCACCCGCAGAACTTTTCGGTTTTTCATCTTTGATCTGTTGGGTATGTCACCACAGTTCTCTGTTACTCTAATAGGTTGGTGGTGGCGGTGGAAGAGGCCTTCACGCATATCAAGCGCCTCCAAGAGGAAGAGGCGACCTCATCTCCCAAACACCCCAGAGAGGTAATGGATCCTCGAGAGGCAGCCCAAGCCATCTTTGCCCCGATGGCCCGGGCCATGCAGAAGTACCTGAGAACCACACGGCAGCAGGCCTTCCACAGTATGGAGAGCATCCTCACACACCTTCAGTTCTGCATCACGCACAACATGACACCCAAGGTGAGTCGTCAATAGTTCCAATACAGCAAACAGCCTAATTGATATTAAAATATTTGTTTGTTTTGTTTTGTTTTTAAACATGTTTGAGTATTGATGGCTGTTTCTTAGCAGAATTTTCTACTAGAGAATCGAATACATCTCTAACTCAGAGGCGCCTAAGTCCCTGATGATAGCAGCCACTTGATACTGTTTTCAGTCTTGTCCTGTGTGTACAGATACTTTCTATTGATTATCAAAACCCTTCTATATTATTTACCATAAGGATGGTTTTTTTATTTATTTTTTTGCTATTTAAGCCCAAACAGTCCCTCATTGAGTGCAGATGTACCTACCTTTACTCCTGAATACTCTCTCTTTTTGGGACACTTTCTTTTATTTAAAAAACAAAACAGCTTCTATCAGTTGCTGTCTTATTCACAAGAGGTCAACACACTGGATCAATGTGCATATTTGATCTGGTATGGATGCTCCTTCCATCCCAACATGGCCCGTCCAAGGGATTTGTGCTTCCTTTCGGTCTCGAGAGGAGATGCCAGGGATCTAGTGTTAGCCAAATATGCTACCACTGGAGCCACTTTAATTAAATATAAAATAAATACAACACAATAAGGGGATCTTTGCCACTACAGAAAGGCAGAATTATTGTAGGATAGTATTTCTTTTACTTGTTTTAGTGGACAGTGTAGATCGATGAAATGATCTTCAAAGCCGCATCATTAGTGATGTAAATGTAGTTAAGTGCTTCATGAGTGTACTTGGGCACGGCACTTCAGCACTAAGACAACTGGTGTTTCCTTGGTGATTAAACGCCAACATCCTCCTTTTCAGGCTTTCCTGGAGCGTTACCTCACCGCCGGCCCCACCATGCAGTACCAGCAGCAGAACGGTAGGGGGCGCCAGTGGACTCTGGTGAGTGAGGAGCCGGTGACCTCAGCCCTGCGTCAGGGTTTGGTCTTCTCCCTGCGACGCCTGGACTTCTCCCTTGTTGTCACGGTGACTCCGCTCCCCTTCCTGCGGCTCGGGGAGGAGTTCATCGACCCAAAGAGCCACAAGTTCGTCATGAGGCTGCAGTCTGAGACCTCGGTGTAAAGGCGTCCAGTAAAACGTCTTCTTTTTCCTACACTTTCCTCTCCCCTCGTGCTAACTCCTCCTGGATCACTGATGCGGTGGGACATGCGGAGGCCATGTGGTCTATTCTCGCCCAATCATTTCCTCTCTCATCAACAAACAAACCATTCAGAGAGGAACATCTCTGCGGGCCTCATCCTTCCTGTTTTGTGATCATCACAGATGCTTTGCGTCAGACTGTGATCAGCTCAACGATTGTTCAAACCCTGGAAGTAAACAGATGCCTTGACCTTTTCTTTTCTTGACAATGTCTTTACGGCACACTGTAAAGTTCTTTCTTCCTCTAAACGGGGACTTTTCCTCCTTTTGCCTCTTCTTTTGCTGTAACCACTGGACTAGTTTACTGTGCTGACTCAACACGTAAACACCAGAGGAAGGGGATTACATCACATGTGTCACTTCCTCTTATTTGTGTCTTAAAATCAGTCCAACTGGATTTCAGCTCTGACTGCAACGCTGATGTACCACTGCCCTCTGGTCCCCTGTCAGTTGTTGTGTTTAACATAAGCAGGACTGTTGTTGTTGTTTTTTTACATATATATGTTAGAGGAGTGACTTTTTAACTTTCAGAATGTAGCATTTTGTGCAGTGAGTTAACATGTTCTCTCTTGTGGCCTTGAAGGGCCAGTATGTCCTTTTTTTAAAAATTTATGTGACTATTAAGCAAAATGGAAGTACATTCCTAACTCACTGCAACTCCAAACCGTATGTTCATGATTGTTTAAATATGCAGCTTTAGTTTATTTAACACTGGTACTTTTACTATTGATGTCACAGTTTTAGCAGGACGTGTTACAGAATAAAAATGACATTTTCACCTGGTATTAACTGAGATTCTGAACATCTGAACAGGATCTTAAAGTGTGAGCTTGACGATGTTCTGAATTTTTCATACTGTCAACAAATCCAGCAAAAAGACCAACAGTGCACTCGTCTCGAGTGTCATTACTTGGAATCTATTCATTGCTGCTACTTCCTAAGAACAACTCATACATGCATTATGCTGTTATTATTCTTTTTTTAACTCTATGTTTTTGGAAATGTTACTCATGCCTAAGTAGTAAGTGGATTTACTCAGTGCTATTTATAGCTGGTTACTTTTAGATAAAATTGAGTATTTTTGGCAGCAGGATGGCGTGAGTGGAAAAATAAATTGCACAGCAGTGGAAAAACTGGAGCCAGTAACAGGCCGATGCCACTCTTTACAGAGTAAAACATTTCTAATATCACATAATGGCTCATTTTCAGAATATTACTTAGATTCTTTAGTAAGTTATACTCGCGCTTTATGTTCTGTCTGCTAGTCGGTCTCTCCAATGGACAAACTAAAAACGTCTTGATATCAGCTCGTATCAGAGCAACGTGTATGCTGATACTGAAATATGTGTATTAGTGGATATTAACCTGATGTATTGGCTGTGCTTTAGAGAAAAAAAACACATCACGTAGTACATTGGTGTTCTGGGTGTAGTTTTTGAATAGACCAGTAAATTAAATCAGGGTCCCAGTACCCATACAAAGCATGTTTTCTTTTTACTTTTTCTTTTTTTTTGGGGGGGGGTGTTAATAATTGACTGGGGGTATTTTTGGTCTTTTTATGGCTTTTATTTGACAATATGAAAAACAAGAGTATTACCAGCCTCACTCTTTAATGCAAATGCAATCTGTGTGTCCGATATGTTGAAATGCTGGTAAAATCTTTGCATTTTAAGTGATAAAATCTGCAGCTTTTCTGTGACTGACTGGGGGGAAAAAAAGCATACTCTGTGCTAAATTCTAGTTAACTGTTTGTGCGACCATGTTTCAAGAGTTTCCTTAACAGATACTGACAGAGTTGCTGCATTATTGAGGGTATATTTAGATTCTGCGGAAGAAGTTCCGCCTGCACACTAACTCTAAGCCACCCTAATAATCAGATAACAGCATTTTGAGTCACTGTGTGCAGGCGCTCATCTGTCATAAAACTTCAGTCCATCGGAAAATGCCCTGATTATTAATATTGGAAGCGAAATAATACAGTGTATCGTTACAGTGTAATACCAGGTGTAAATGTAGTCAGTCTCACACTTCTTACACAATTAAATGAATTCAGATGTGGCAGCTGTAGTTTAACTATGAGCTGTCTTATTGTGGTTTAATGTTTGTTTGTTTTTTCTTACATGCATATCTACAAGAATCCCAAACCAGACATGTGATTGTAACTCCTCTCTGCAGCTCCTCTGCAGCAGTAGCTTATCACCGCCTAGCCTTGTGCCACGAGCTGAAACGGGCACAGTGAACATGCTGCCTATGACCTTTCCTCAGCCTTAGTTTCCAGATGTGCAGGAGCAGCAGACTCTGACTCCCCCACCCCTTCGTCTGCAGGTCCCGATACTTAACCCGATGTTTCCACCCCACATGCTGAGCCACAGAAACAGACAAAAGCAGGCTGACTGTTTTTGTCAAATGCGATTTTAAAAAGTCCTTCACATTTCTGAAAAATGAAACCAACAAACACCAGGTCCGATTTGTTCGATATTTCATCTGATTTTTGTAAAAAAACAAACAAAAAAAACAAACGAACAAAAGAATGCATGCAAAGATTTATTTTGGGCTCCAAATCCTTTTTATAATAAGTTGTTTTCTATCATTTTTACGGTGCCTAAGTTATGATGATGCAATTTTCAGAATGTAAAAAAAAAATTGTAGATCTGTGTTGTATTTTGTTTTTGGTAACTGTAGCTTGTATAGTGTGCTAGGCTTTTTCCATTATTAAACCATTTATTACTTACAAGTCTCCTTGTTTCTTAACTTGCAGCATGGGGAACTTTAGTCTGTAAAGTGAAACATGTGACTGAAGCTAAGAAGCAAAAGGAGCTGAGACTTCTCTTTTTAATGTGGTTGAAGAAAATTAATATCTGCATTTGATCATTTTGGTTTGCTTTAATAAGAATTTGTTTGCCGATTTGGGCCTTTGGACGTGAACAATTTTCACCAGTTTTTCACAAGACTTTTAGAGGAACTTCTGTCAAGTTGGGGGATGGCAGTGTGGTAGGCGTGTGGTTTCATAGCTTCAAAACGGACAGAGAGCCACTGACTTCCTGTTCGCTGCTTCTCATCTCTGTGAGTATAAGACATCTCGCTGACAGCCTACAAGGGGAAAAACAAAGCAGATCAACCATCTTATCTTCAGCCCACCTGGTAAGAGCACTCATTGCTCTCTTTTTGATCCTGCTCTAGTAGGAGTACTTTTGAGATACCTGTGGCATTGAAAAGGGATGACACGGAGTTAGTGTCTCTTAACATCTTTCTTCTGGCTGTGTCGAGGATCGCGACTAAGTGTGTGTTATGTGTGTACAGACAGCATTGAAGGCATGGATATATGTTTTATCCTGGATGGTATTCTCATCCTATATGGCATCATCCTCACCGTGCTGTACTGCAGACTGAGGGTAAGGCAAACAGGAACCACACACACAGATCGCCATGATGGACTGTAGAAAGTGTACAGCTGTTACTTCTTCCTTCTAGACAGTGCGTGAAGGAAATGCACTTTAATGCAGCAGTTTGTTTAAAGTTGCTCTTTATGTTAGGCTGGAAAAAGTATAGCAACTCTTATAAAACTTCCCCAATTTCTTTAGATAACTTTTTAAAAACTTGTGGTTCCTTGTAATAGTGTACGAGCATTCTTTTGAGTCAATTATCTCGAATCATTTTACATCCTCTTCAACATTTCACATGATTAATAAACTACAATGGGAGTCACCCAATCACATGCTTTCTTATTTCTTTTTTGACAGATGCATCCATCCAGCAGCTCATCTGGCAGTTACCCAGAGGTAAAATGAAATCTGTGTTATTGCGTAAAATTATAAAGAAATGGGGAATTTAATCTAAACACAAGTGTGTATAGAAAAGGGGTTTTTTTAGTGTGTCAAAGCTGTTTTTTCTCTGTAACATCATAGTTCAGCTTAAACACCAACCCTTTTTTATAATTTCCTGTAAGCAAGCTGACCACCGACCTATATTATTTATACTCTATGTATGTCGTCACAGTTTCCATCAGTGTTTTTTTCGCACCAAGTAACAGTGTCAGATCCCACTTCCTGTAAAAAGGGTCTAGATTTGCACATTACTCGTATCTCAAAATCTTAGAGTAAATGAAAAAAAAAAAAGAGACTGCCAAATGCCAGTCAGTACCCGAAGAAGCATCCAGTTATTTCACGTGTCCAACACTTAGTTGAAAGAATTGCCCCTGAACGCACTCTTGATCATGTCTTTATTTCCATTCACACAGAAACAACCCGCTGGGGGAGGCATCTATGCGGTGAGACTTCTCATTCTAATGCTTAAAAACATATTTAAAATGGCACATGACGGAAAAGTGACAGCACATTGCACAGTAGATGTTTTTCTTTTTTATTCATCTCGCTGGTTGTCACAAAATCGCACTTAAGAGTCAGTGCAGGAAATGAACAGTGTCGTTTTAGAGCAGCTTTCACATCAAGTTTGTGCCACTTCACAGTATGTGTGTCTGTCTGCTTGCATCCTGCAGGGTCTGACCACCCAAAGTACTGACACCTACGAGACCATCAGACTGGACAAAAAGCCCATTGTCTGAAACAACACAGATTTGGTTCAATGAGGATGCTGTTCACAAAAACACAGTGTTACACCTGTTGAAGCTTTATACTGTATAATACGTTGTGTTGTCTTGTAGCGGGCCGGGGCATAGACTTCCTATATGCACATTTTTCACATTTACTTTGTAAAAAATGCTTCCTGTATTCTTGAACTTTATAGTGTGCATGCATGAGATGTAAAATTACTAAATAATTTAACTGTTTACTAATAAAAGCTGTGTCGATGAGTTTAAACTGTGTGACTCTTTGTGTCTCACAGCTGCTCATGCTGAAGTTACAAAGAAAAGAGAAGTTTGAGGTTTCTGTTCAAGTCTTCCCTTTTTTTATTTGATCTGTCTGGACTAGAACTTCGAGCCGTGTAAACAGAGCTTAACTTCACTAACCGACCTTTAGGAAAAGCTTTATAATCCCATTGCTTTAATCTGTCATTGCTTTAGTTTAATTCTAGCTGATCGATGCTTTGTGTCAGAAAATTCTGATGACTATAAATACTGGTTTCTTAAAAGCTTCTTTTAATGTCTTTAAGAGGCTTTATTTTTAAAGATCTGACTAACAGGTGAAAACACAAAGAAGCTCAGTTTGCAGATGACGTCAAAGAGGTTTATGATGAGAACTGAGAAGTTGGAACCAAATTGTCAATAATGAAACAATTGTTTCTGCATTTCTTCCTTTCTTAATAAAGACTTTATGATTACTGGTTAAAGTCAGGCAACACTTTTAGGGTTTTTAGACTAGTTGCAAAACCAAATGTAACACAGTGACTGATGCAGAAAGATTTTTATTTTTTAATATTGGCCTTTTCCTACTTTGGAAACATCTTATTTCTTTGTGTTAGTTTTTCATAATAGATGTCACCTTTCCATTTCTGAACCAACTATTATATATTGGCATTGCTCATAACTCAAAATGTTTCAAAGAAACTCAACGTATGATGGTATTTCACAAGTAATCCAAATTATGCAAAAAGTCAGTATTTTACAATTTTGATCCTTTTTTTTAATAACTTGTGCTAATCTCTGAGGCCCAGCTTCAGTGATTCATCTTTATCACAGTTTGTATAGCAGAAAATTAACTGATGATACTAAAAATGTCCTCAAAGACCAACTTCTTCCAAAAGCCCTGAAAGTTTTTTGTATGATAAAGCACCACATTAAGAACCAAATGTGATAATTAAGTTGTACAGAGATCAGCAAATTAACACTTTGGATCCTATCCCCTGATCTTAAGCCAATCAAGAATCTACTGCCAGGATGTAAATGGCAGGTGGACAAGCAGGACCCCACAAATTGTCATCAGCTTTGAGCAATGCTACAGCAGGAATGGATCGCCATCAATCTTTGGGCCAAAAGCTGATATCCAGCATGCCACAAAACTGTAGAAGTTACATTAACTAAAATAAAAGCATGCACAAAATGAACAAAAAACCTAAATAAAAATGTAGGTGTATGAAACAAAACTACTCAACTTCTTTCTTCCTTAAAAAAATATTAGAACACATGTCACACAAATACTTTAGAAAACTGTCAAAAAGGTTTAACTACACTCTTACTTTTTAGGAATTAAAAAAAAATCATGTTTTTGTACCCAAATTAGAGCTGGAACACTAAACTGGCACACTACACTGACAAATCAGTATAATTTGGCATCCTAATAGCGCAAACCATAACGTGCTTTACAGTTTTTGACAACAATAACAATATTTTAAAATTTAAAAATATGATTTTGATTTTTTTTAAGTATAAATTAGAAAATAATTGTAATTAAAAAAAAAAAGTATGTTACATTTTTTGTAACATCCTCTCTGTTGATTGCAGACGCAGGTAAGACCAGATAATACCACCAACAGAAAATCCTGATATGTGACTGTTCTGTTTAGGTGTCTAGATCTCACAGATAAATGTAACAGCTGCAACAAAGGACGTTTAAAATCTCTTTATTTGTCTCACCTGCCTTTGACATGGAAATATAACTGGAAATGCATTCAAAACAGACTAACAGGAGGCTGTACTTACCGGCTGTGTGCAGTTTTCCCCGAGGCTCCTCGCAATGACAGGACAAACTTGCTCACACTGAAGCGTCACACAAGCATTCTGCTGTTACAACATACCTGCCCCCAGCATTATCTCGTGAATCAAAGGAAGAAGTAAACATCTATGTTTGTGATTCCCACGGCTCAATGAGCATATTTTTTCCTTTTAATATGGGGGTCCCCCCCCCTTTGTACTGCTACGTTTTTTATAGTCTGCAAAATGATAGATGCGTCTTTAAAAGCCAATTTAAAAATATAACAGGAAAGTGTTTAAATACAAAGCTGATATGTTTCAGACTGAGTGGATCGAGTGTTAGAAAGTGCAGCAAAGGTCCCGTGTATCAAGTCTTGCTGAAGAAGTGTTGTCAGAAACTGTCCGCACGTCTAAAGCTTCCTGTTTGCAGTCTGGGTTTGTGGATCAGGCCATCTGAGCTTAAGCCAATAAATAAACCATTGAAAGTAAAAACAAAACCCCTCACAAACTTTCAGGTTATTTTGGAAAAATAGAACAAACTGGCATCGATAATGGTGTTACCTTCAAGTACTTCTGGGGAACTCAGTTCGATGAATGCTGTGAAAACAAACTTCATCCACCCATTTTCTTCCACAGAGAAGAATTGGGGTCACATTCTGAAAAGAAATGAATGTCTCTGGGTTAATTATATATTTTAAAAAACCTTTCAGTTTAAATTGCTGGTATAAATGGAAGATGACCATTAGGGGAGGAATTAAAGCATACACGGTTATGTGAGGATTGTTAAAGAAAGGGGGCCAGAACCAGGCCGCCGAAAGGGTTAAATCGAGCCCACTAGCCTTGGATAACGTGAAAACAGCGATGACAGGGGGCATAAATGCTTTCTATCAAACGAGACAGTGTAAGAAAGGAGAAAAATTCATGACATAATGTGTTACTAAAGAATAACATACACATTACCGGTATGTTATGTCTAAAAACAACTTGGTCGTATGCGGTATGCATCCTGCCCACGTAAGACTATGTTGTGGCCCACCGTGTAAGATGAGTTTGAAACCCCTGGTTTACACAAAGAAACATCAACAACACTTGCACTATTGAATTTTCACCGTCTCCCCACAATGAATACTTTTTAACGGCTAATCCTACTTGCGGCTTTTCAGATCCTTTAGATGCTGTCATTAAAAACTTGTAGCATCTAAAATTCTTCCTAACAAACAGTAAAGTAACTATTCTGCACTCATACAAGCATGAAAGCGAGTCATTTAAAACCATGTTTGTGCAGTTCACCTGTTTATTTCACTGGTAAGCCACAGTAGTGAGGGTTTTAACCACACAATAAAAAACTACCGTTTTATTCTTCGTGTTCTTTTCTCTCTTTGACCCTTTTTTCCATTACTTTTTGATCTTGTTTTTCTTCTCTTGTTTTGTTCTAGTTTTTCTTTGTGATCTATTATCTTGAATATAAAAGGTTCTTGATCTTGGTGATTAGCAAAATGGGAAAAAGAAACAAACAAACAAAAAAGAAAATGCAAGTTTAGCTGATAGACAAAATAGATTCATAAATAAAAGTAGCCACCACTAATACAGTCGTTTCAAACAAAGTCTGATAAATACTCTCCAGAGTAAGGATTTTATTTACTTGCGTAATTGTAAGAGGACATTGTTGGATTTGTCCAAGAAGAGTAGGGGTGTTAATTAGTGTTACTTTTATAGCTTATTGATAAAATTGCAGACTACAATCAAATGATCAACAGTTTAACTGTTAATTTGATCCCTAAACATGTGTAGTTAGATATAAGAAGTTAATCTTGTGAAATTGCTTGACATAAAGTATATTTTTGGTTAATTTTCCGACCCTACCACTGCATTTTCATCTTGCGTCACCTGAACGCAGCGCTAGTGGGCGTGTCAGTGGGCGGGGCGGAGGGAAACAGGTGTAGCGAGTCAACCCAAACCTGTATTCTGGTGCTTCTGCCTTCGTGTGACAAGCGAGGTTGTTCTTTTATAAACACAAACTTTATTTTTCTGTCGTGCGAAAGCTCAAATGCAGATTTAACATTTTCCGTTTATTTGTTCATTTCACTGGAAATGAAGATAGAGCCTCTATCAGCTATTTGCTAACCATTGTTCTTTTATCAGTGGAAGTGTGATTTTTTTAAACATTATTTCTCAGTTGAACAGGAAACATCTGCTGCCCCTGGCTCCTTGCTGCGGGGTTTGTGTTTTTTAAACCAACCCTCAAATTCCCAGCTGAATTTGAACATGGAAGCTTAACACGAGATCTGAATTTCCCAGAAGAAGGCTAATAAAGAGAAACTTTTACTTTGGAACCAAACATGAAGTCAGCTGGAAAAAGTGCTGCGCTCCTGGCATTGCTTTCTTTAATCGGTGAGTTTTCTGTTACATTGATTTGCATGTAAAATTATTGTGACACTGCTTCATAAAACACGAATCACCTGTCTAAGCAAGTCATTTGGGGAATTCTGTGTTCTCCTTTCTGTTAACTGGGTCTGTGACGATTAAACATTTGACAGACATGGCATAAAGCTTGGATATAGTGTCTAAAATCTATACACTTTGAACTTCGTGGTAGCTTCTTGTGCTTAATGTTGGTGTAATTAACCCAGCAATCTTCCTATGAGTGTTAAAACAATGTCCTTTAATATAGAAGGGCTCTTCCCCCCCCCCCCCCAAGACACTGAATTATTACTATTGCAGTCTTCAAAAGTCTCTATGCCTTTGCTTTACTTGCCATGGTTTTGGTCCAATTGTGCAAATTTTTTTGTTACAACATGCAATGATTTCTGTCTCCAAATCTTAAGCTCATCATGTCACCAAAGATTTATAAATTTAGAAAACTTTTTAATTTTTGCTTTTTCTAAACAGACATATTGGATTTTTTTTGGCTACTTCTGATCTTTTAATTGCATTAACTCAACTGGAGAAATGAATGAAAACCTGAACTACAGCCACCAAACTCTTTAACTTGTGACAAGCTGTTACAAGCAGGGGCGTTTCTAGGATTTTTTTAATGGGGTGGCTGGGGGCATGGCAAAAAAATCAGTCAGGTGGGGTGGGACGGGGGCAGTTTTGCTAACTTTTTCTAAATGCAGAAAATCATCAACCAACATCTAGATAGACAAAAATAAAGCTGATTGCGTCACTAAACGGATATCATATCACTGCAAATCATCTCAGTCTAAGCTGAGTAATGTCAGAATAAAGCAAAAAGACTAAATTTCCAGTTTTTGTTGAGCTGCAGTTTAAGGTGCTGGTGAGAAACCATATTAGTTTCACATTGTGTATAGTTCTTTTTCTTTTCCTTTTTTTAATTGCAAAACTATTGACTACAACTCCCTAAGAAATGTAACCCAATAAGTTTTTAGATTGCAGTGAGATTCTAGGGTGTGCCTCATCAAATTACCTTTACATTTTTAATTTGTGCGCACAGATGTACTCGAAAGCAAGAAGGTAATACCCAGGGTAGGATTTAAACCTGTACAACATGCATAAAAGGAACAATAATTTACAATAATTTAGAAGACAGTCTTTTGTTTCCTTTCTTTCTTTGCATGTGCATTAGCTGCACCATCACATAGCTAGGCTTTTTTTCTGCTGGCTACTAAATATATATTTAAAAAAAAAACCTCAAATGAATCAGAGTTCATGGACAGGTGCCACCTCATGCCCTTCTGGACCTGCCCTGGGTTGCAAGTAGCTTTATATGGTTCAACAAGCTAATAAAACAAATGTTTGTTTTGGACAACAGTGTCCTTCCAAATTTTTTTGCAATATATTTGGGAATGCCTTTTGCTTTTTTAGATAACCTGTATTGACCTGTGCAACAGATCTAGCTACCCTCAGATAAATGGTTCTCAATTCAATTCATTTCAGCTGTAATTATATAATGCCAAATAACCACACAGTCACCCCAAGGTGCTTTATACTGTAAGGTAAAGGACCTAAAGGAGAGAAATCCCCAACTATAAGATGATATAAAATGAGCAAGCACTTGGTGACTGTGGGAAGGACAAATTCCCTTTTAACAGGAAGACGCCTCCAGCAGAACAAGGCAAGGCAAGTTTATTTGTATAGCACAATTCAACAACAAGGTGATTCAAGGCCAGTTTGGCGGCAGCAGCGGCGGCGGTGGGGGGGGTACTCTCTCTGCAGCATTTTAGATCAACTGAAGGCTTTTCAGGGAGGTTTCAGGAGAGCCTGATAATAATAAATTACAGTCCAGCCTAGAAGTAAGCAGTTTTCCTCATCACTCTGAGAAAGGATGTTTCTAGGCAGTCCTACATATTTACTTAATGTCAGCACTGAAAGAAATATCCTGGTCAAAAATGACTCCTCACAGTGTTATTGGAGGCCCAGGTAATGCCATCCACAGTGAATGCCTGGTTAGTCACTAAATCTCTTAGGATTTTAATGCAGAGTACAGTAACCTAAGTTTTATTTGAATTTGGAAGCAGGAAATTGGAGTTCATCAAGGCCTTTATGGATTTACGCCGAGCCTGTTGTTTAACTAGTTTGTTTGTCTCGTCTGGCTTCATGGATAAATGTAGTTGGGTGTCATCTGCGCAGCCATTAAAGTGCATGCAGTTTTTTCTAGTATTGCCTAAAGGAAGCATGTATTATGCAAAAAGGTCCCAGCACAGGTACCAGTGGAGTATGGAAATATATATATTTATATTTTAAAAAAAAGGGCTTGAACTTCATGACCAACTTTTGTGTGTGAAGAAGACTCCTGATTTACATTTACACAAACTGGAATCTATCAGATGGATATAATTCAAAGCCGTGCAGCACATTTCCTTTAACACTGATGGTCTGTTTGAATCTCTGCAGTAAAATGTTGTGATCAAGAATAGCAAATGCTGCACTGAGGGCTAGCAGGACACGTATAGTGAACTCCACCTTCCCAATACTGTTTCAGTGATATGATGAACACTAAATCCTGATTCGTGTTCTTCAAATGAACCATTCATCTTCCCACAATCACATAACTGCACTAAAACTCCTTTTTGAGATGCTTTTAGGTAAAAGTGGGATTTGCTAAGACAGCTAGATCAAGTAAATGCTTTACAGACAGCTTAAAAATCTGTAGTTTGAAGCATCATAACAGAGATAAGTTGATCGTATTTAAAATTGTAGCATTAATGTGGCATTAACAGTCTGCTGTTCTGCTGCACTCGTGAGGCCAGCTGACTATCTCAGAGTTATCAGTAATTCTGCAGCCATGAACATGGGTGAACTGTTCTGGTGTCCACATACTTTTGTCCGTGCAGGTGTGGAGAAAGAAGCAGCAGAACAGAATGCAGCTCTGTCACATTCTTATTCTTACTAAGTGATTTAGAAGTCGTGGCCCAACCTGCGTCTTCCTGGTTTTGGTTTTTTTTTTGATGACTAATTCTGATAATGTTTTCTGCTTTTGTTTCCTCATCTAGTGGAGATTAACATCATTTTACATTTAGTTTGGACTGTTCTGCTCCAGATGAAGGAGCAAACAGATGAATGTGAATGTGTTGTTTTTACTCTTGACCACAGCAGTTTGAATGAACAAGAAAAGCTTGTACAACAGCTTTGTGGTGCCCCAGTGTTTGTCTAGTGTGTGTGTGTGTGTGTGTGTGTGTGTGTGTGTGTGTGTGTGTGTGTGTTTGTATAATTCTTTCTTTCAGTTTATCTCTCGGCTCACATTGTCAACTCGTCTCCTTCCAAAAATCTGAGTCTATGTCTGTCTCTCTTGGTCTCTCTCGGTCTGGTCCTCATTTAGGTCAACCACACTGTAGTTCTTTGTACCTACTTTTGAACTTTCTGCCTGTGTGAAGAGGCATGTCGGCTCTCCTGTCTGTGCCACCGCTTTGTCAGTGTGTCCTTGTACTAACTATATCAGATCTGTGGGAGTCCCTGTCCTATATTGGCTTCTTTGTAATCATTGATTAAGCTTGTGAATCAGTAACCACAGAGCAAGGAAGAAAAAAAAAACCTTTAAACCCAGAAATCAAAGTGCAAATGTTTTGCATCTTCTGTTTGAGTTGTTGATGTGGCTCTCACACCCATTCCTGTTTCTCTCGCGGTTACACGTACGCATTTCACCAGGTGTGATAAATGTTCCAGCCATTAGTCAGTTCCGATTCATGGCTTTTCAACAGCGTCCCTGAGAGTTGACAAGAACCAGTAGTTGTCTTTTTGTGCTTGAGTTGCTAAAATGTTGGGTAAATCCTGGATTTTCTATAAAATATCATTAAAAATCATCTACTATTGTGCCAGAATGGATTCAGTGTGCAGGCAACGTTTTGCAAAACACTAAAGTTCCTTAAACATACAGCAGTGAGTTAATTAAATGCAATATTTCATTAATCAAATCCACATTTATTCCTCACACAGAAACCTGAGCTCAGGTGATGAAGAATTTGTTTTAGTTTTATTCTGTCGCAAAGCATTCTTTAAAACCAAAAGCAAGTCAAGCTTGAAACATGGAGATGCAGAAAGACATTACGAAATGAAACCGAATAAAGCAAACTTTAAACAGCGGGAAGATCATAGGACACAAAATGAAATCAGTCATCGAACAATGAGACAGCAAAACAAAAAAACGAGTTGAGATCCAATAGATTAAGATGGAAATATGTTTCTAATGCAATCAATGTGAAATGTAAAACAATAGAAGCGTAAACATGTGTTGGCGGGCAGATGTTCGTAGTCTTCACCCTCTTGGACCCCTACTGGGAGTAAACCTTGTTTCTCTCTCTGGTAGTTCAAGCCTGCTTCGAAAAATTAACGACTGGTTTTTAAGGAAAAAAAAAAAAGCAAATCCAAGACCTATTCTAATGATGGTCAAACCACGTCTTTATTGATATATACTTAGGTGTCAGATCTCGTCATTAAGGACTCAGTGGAGTCAAATGCTCTTTTTATGTGGGAAAGGGTTAAAAAAAAACTACACACGTGGAAACTTTTCCATGTTTCCTAATATAAAGGCAGTCTGTCTGAATTGTTTACTGTCAACAAGGAAATATGAAGTAATAAAGTTTTTGCTCTGTCGTGAATAGCAAGTTTGTTCACAAACAAGAGGCAATTTCTGCTTTTAAAAGTCACCTAAAACCAGTTTTTAGTGACTTTCTCGGTGTTGGCATGTCAACGGACAAGCTGGTTAGGTGAATGAGCGAATGCCTGTAATTGTAAATGTTTGCCTATACACAAACCTGTATAGGCTATACCCGACCTTCTGCCTGGAGCATTATAGGATAATGTCGAGCTTTTTATGATCATCCTGAACAGGATTGGTCATAAGAGCTGTCTGGAAGGAAGCACAAACACTTTGGATAACAGAAGAGTGGCAAAAACACACAATAGTAGCAAAATAGTTGTCATAGGTTCCCAGGCCCTAAGGTCATGTCTGTTTTGTATTTCTTCACTTTGAGGAGCTGGAACAACATATTTGGGTGTGTTGGCACTGACGGGTCTCTGTGAAATTATGGAGAGATTACTATGATGAGTAAAAACGACTGCATGCTTCATCACTTGATTTGGAAATTCCATGCGAAATACCATAAACGTAATTTAGTCTTCAAAATGTACAAATGCCAATGATTTGCTGTGTTTCCTAATCCAAACTCGCACTCTCCAAATATGCCTTATCTTCCACTGATTAAATCCACATGTTTCTCTTCCCTCCTCAGCCATGCGCGTGGGGGGTGGATTTGTGGAGCCTGCTAACCCCGTCACCACCCTGCGCTCCGTGACAGAGACTCAAACCAGACTCCCCTGTCAGTATCAGGTGGAGGGTGAGCAGAAGGTGGTGCAGGTCACCTGGTACAAGGAGCTTTCAGATGGCAGCAAAGATATGATCATCACAGCTCACTTCATCGACGGCCATAGAGGTACTTGACTGAAGAAGCTCCTGTAAAGTTTCTGGGGAAAATAAAAATTTCAGTAATAACGTCTTGGCAAAGCTTTTTTCTTTTCTCTTTCTTGGGGGGGTAATGAGCGAGGTGCAAGTCAAGCATTGTTTTCCCAGCAGATGCTGCAGTTGCAGCAGTCCTTGGACATGATACTTAGTGCAAGCATTTATTATCAAGACCAAAACAACTATTTGGTGCATCCTTTGGTTCCAAATACACTTACACACACTGCCCTCATCAGGTTATTGTTTATGGATTTGAACCTCAGTTATCAAATGCTACATCTGCTTTATAACTGCTTTATCTTAAAAAATATAGAGATAATGCAACCTAAGCATTAATGACTTGACAAATCCCAACCATACCTACACTTATTATAATATGCTCTATAATAATAATCAGGAACGCTAAGGTTCTTCATTACTGCAGACCAAAGTTCACTCAAAACCATAAGGAGAAAGAAATACTATAAAAGTGGTCAGCTAATAACAAAATATAGGAAAGACTTTGCTCTTTGTAATTTTATTTGCTTTGATACTAATAACTTTAAGAATGTCTGTATTTCATTGAATTGTTCCATTTTTCAGGTTATTAGAAACATGTATTGTTGTCTTACTAAAGTGTACCAGATAAGCTCACTTTTAGATCTGTATTCTTGTTTTTGGAGCTTTACTTGATTCACAGCTAACACCTCTCAGTTTAAAGATACAATCAGAAATAAAAACAAAACAAAACATAATTTAATAAAAAAAATATACATTTTACTAATAAATACGCATTAGTGTGTAATTATGTCTTCTAATAACTGATGCATTATGATCAACTCAAAATTAATCAATTAGAAATGCATAGAAGCAGGCGATGGTTTGTCATGTTGGCCTGATATTTTGGACACGGTGGCTGAGATTCACACATAAAATACAATGTCAATAGAGACTGGCCACGTGCGCAGTATGCCAAATATGGAAGAGAACAGGGCTCGCAGTTGTTCACATGTTGTGGTGGCAAATTTGAATTTGTATCTAACTCCAATTTCTGTCAGTGTAAAATGTTTAGCTACGCATTCGATCAATGAAATGTCTTAATATAAGACGTGGAAGAGCAATTTCAACAGTATGTCTCAGGTTTTCTACATGGCAAAAAATGCTGCTTTAGTAAGTAAAAGAAATCTGTCCCCAATGATCTAAGATGTAAAATTACAGAAATGTATAATTGAATTATTTTGGCATATTGTGACTGGCCATGAGAGAGGTTTTAAGGGTAGGAAAAGCTGTAAAAAGAAAAAAAAAAGTATGCTGTCTTTCACATTTTCCAAAGCCATTCAGCGTGCCGTATTGGAGTCTTTGCCAGGCTAATTGCGGCCCGCGCCCTTATGTTTGACACACCCCTGGTTTAGACGTAATATCATCCTTTTCCTCAAGCCTCATCTCCTGACACATAAAAACGTGCATAAACATGCTTATCTATTCCCAATATTGTCACAGTTACTTTGTGTCAGCAGATTAGACATCAGCATGAACATCACTGACTCATCGACTCATATCAGACTCCTTTCACAAAGTTTTACAGCTCCCTCCCAAATCAACATGGACACGTATTGACAGCTGAGGTAAACAGCGGACTGTCAACCTGCGCTTACTGCAGATGAACTTCAGTCACAGTTTGTTTGTCCTGCAGCGAGTATTATGCACTTATGCAGTTGATCTGCAATCTATCGACATCTAGCGAGAGATTTTAGATACTGTAACTTTAAGCAGACTTTCTTCTGATTGGCTGCCCCTCATAAAGTTTTGAACAGAAGGTGGGTGGAGCTTCTGTGCTCATAGCCAGAGCTTTGTGCCTGAAATTATGACATTGGGGATATCCACTTTCAGTAACACTGTATGGAGCTAAGAATAGGAAAAAAATGTCTGAAACTGAGCATAAAGAGCAGTCTGAAGCCACGCTTCAAGGAAAAGCATTTTAACATTTACAGTTTTGACTAATCATAACAGCCTCAGTGCAAGATCTGGAGGTTGGAGATTTGCTTTGTGAATTGGTGGAGAAGTCAGAAGGTTGAGGTACATGTGCTGGTTAATGGAAATGTAATTTGATCCAGAGGCCCACGGCTGGTCCAGTGGGCCATGATTGTATGAATGAATGTGAATCATGCGCTACTTCTACCTTTGTTAATCGTTTAAATACCTTTTTCCTCACTGCTGTTGTTAAAGAGTACTCACTACTATGAGTAGACCTGATTTAAAGGCTGTTACATTACTCTGCTTATAACACACATCATTTCACTTTCAGATTTATTCATGTAAAGATAAATTAGATGCATCATCTTTAATAGCAACTTTATCCATAAATTCAAATTAGAGTCACAAGTTAAAAGTACACACATGAGAAAATAAAACAAAATAATTGTTGCTGTGTCTCTAATTGGCATGTGGTTATTTGAAATGAGATCATCCCAGCAGACCATTGTTTTGTACCTGGATTACTCTTTATTATTTGTCTGTTGTGACGCTGCTTGATAACTGGAGGCTTATTTTAACAATGTCTAACCATTTATTCTCCTTTCCTGGAGCTAATGCTTTTGACAAAGGGTCTGTTTGACGTTTTGTGAGTGTTGAAGATGCTCACCTGAGGTTTTTGTTGTTTGACAGATTTTGGGCGTTACTCTGGTCGGGTGAGGTTCGAGAACAGCAACCCCATCAAGAACTCTGCTCTGATCATCCTGAACACAGAGCAGTCGGACGAGGGCACCTACGCCTGCCATATCTCCACCTTCCCCAGTGGAAATTTTGAGACGAAGATCGCCCTCACCGTCTGGAGTAAGACTCATCATCCTTTCTCTCTCTCTTTTTTTTTTTTTTTTTTTTTTAAATCTTCTCGCCCACATGTCCCTAATCCTGAGAGAGCTTCTGTAATGATGTTTACACCATCATATCTTCATAGAGGAACTGGTGACTGGGGGAATTCAGGTGTGCCAGCATGGCCACAAGCACTGCCAGCTTACTTTAGGTTTTAGCATGTGAAAAGCCAAAAGGGAAATTCTTTTAATTCTATATTATTCTGTTACTCCAACTAAAAATTAAGAAAAAGTTTAAAATATTCTCAAGTATAAAAAAGCACCACAGAATCTGCGTACACCAAAAATATGTTATGCAGACTCTGATTCTGGTAGGTAGATAGCAGCTCAGCTGTCAAAACATTTGCAAGTTTATTTGGTGTTCCAGAAAGATGGAGAGGGTTTTCCAAGATCCAAGATAAATAGGTTTCCACCACGAGGAGTGATTGAGTTTAAGATAAGTTTGGCCTTGATGTAAGTTTCGTATATATCCTTAAATCACAAGTTTACATAAAGAGCTTTACACCCCCATAATCTTTATAATCTTAATTCTTCCTCTAAAGAAGGGAGGATGATAGAGAAACGACTGGGAAAAGCGTGTTGTGTCTATACAAAGAAAAGCGATATAAAAAAGTATAATCACTATTAAAAAGTATGATATAATTGTGGAAACAGGGTTGTGCTTTAAAGAGCTGCCAACTTCAATTTCCCAGGTCTGTGGCAGAAGAAAAGCTTCCTCTTTAGCCTAAAATCACCTGTTTCCACTCCTTATTTTGTCTTTTGAACAATCTTTGCAGAAGTTTTGCACCCAGCTAAAGCCTGGCACAAGTAATTTCCCACTGAGAAAGGAGCTTAAAATTCTGTCCCCTTTAAAATGTTTCAAAAACTCATTTTGATGTATACAGTTTCTGCGGTGCCGCTGTTGTCCCCAGGCTTCCTCCTTTACAACCATAATAACAGCCGTGGGAACACCTTTGTGAATCCTCTGTGAAGTAAACCCTGGAATGATGCTATCATTTTTTAAACAACTTTCCCATTTCACTGCCAGTCATCTGCAGTAACAGACCTGTCTCAACACGCCCCAGATCTGACAAATCAACAGAAAGTTGAGTAGTAAGAGACAACTTGTAGCACTGAATTCCCTCCATGTTGGAACATTCAGCTGTAAAATGTTGATTTGTAAGTGCAGAAACTGATGCAGGCGGCTACCTGCCCACGTGTTACTGTCAAAAACTGTAAACTGAACAAACTGGGCATGTTGTTCTTAATGTGAAAGAATAGGTTTTAGAGAAATGACCCTACTGTGAATGCACTATGCCGAAAAGTCACATTTGGACTTGGAATTTTTGTTAAAAACTGGGTGTTTGGTTTACGGATACATTTATTTTAATTGGATGAAAAATGACCAGGATGGCGGTATCAGCATGTTTCACAACACAGCTTCTCTCATGAAGGCACTTTTCAGATAAGTTTGTCAGGTAAATAATGTGAGAGCTGAAATATTTGGAGGGGAGAACATCTCCCCTGCTCACTTTTTCTTGAATTGTGTCTTTTCTTGGCTGTGAGTCAGAGTCATTTATCACTGTGGAAGCTGGAATCATTCCTTTATTACTGTAAGCCAATGAGTGCAGCATATTTCCCTGGCTGATATGCTGCGCTGTGCTTTAGTGTTTTGTTTTTTTACTAGTTTCTGTTTTTAAAGGTTTGAGCTTTCCTCAGGTGGTGCCCTTTTCTTTGTCAGTTAATCCGTAATAGTTGTTGTTGTTAATGGTACCGACTTGTTTTGTCTGATGTATTAATAATCCAAACATTAGTGGAAAGAGTTAACCAGCCAGTGACTGTTTACAACAGTCATGACTGCAGAGTGAATCACAATCGTGTTAAACCAGTTGGAGACAGGGCAACAAAACAAAATGTAGCTGTGTGAAAACATGTAAGGTGACCTGTTCTGAGAGAGTTTTGCAACTTGGTGTTCTTACACAATTCCAATGAATTTGATGGTACTTTTAGTTGGAAACCCACAACTGTAATATGTGGAAAATTCTCCAAAGTAGAAGTGGGCACATTAAAGCACAAAAAGATCACTCTGTTTATACACTGTATATAAAAGATGGAAGTAGATTTGCATTAGCTGGATAGCTTTTCCCATTTTGATTTTTTTTTTTTAACCTTTCTTTTTGGTGTTGCGACCTGCTAACACTTGGTGCAAGTTGCGTTAATGCACATGATACAGAAATGGATACCTTCTAATTTATAATAGAAAAATACTATAATTTAATTGTTTCATGTATTACATCAAAAATAGTCAAATTCCACAAATACCATGGAGAGGTCCAGTTCAATGACTCATTATCAGGTGAGGCTGAGCAGACAGCTAGAGCTACACGTGTGTCTGCCCGCACCTGTCAGTCACATAAGCCACACCCACTAACAATGCCCAATTCCAGCAAGGTGGAATGAATGGGCGACGATGACTGTAAAGTTCAAAACCTTTTGTTTTAAACTAGGTTTTAAACCACTGGGATATGTGGTTTCATGTCCAAGTGGTTATTTGAAGATAGAAATCTAGAGGGATCAATGAAGGTCACCCTGCTGGTGGTACTAAATAGAAAGTCAGCAGATCTGTAGCTGGTTCAGCAACCCGGAAGATTTTACTGCACTCTGTCTGTTTTTTGTTTTTTTTTTGCTTTGCATTTAACTTTTGTAGATCAAATAACATTTTTACAAAAGGTATGCGGAAAAATGCAAATGTGAATCTGTTGTTGGTACTACAGGAACATTTTTGAATCATTAGGCAGTTCTGACTTGAAAGTCTGTACAAACTTTCATGCTAATCCCTCAAACAGATTTCATTTGCCAGTCAGGACAAGTGTTGGATCATCTACCCCCTTAGCTCTAAGAGCCAAGAAGTGAAAAATAAACTAACTTGGGAAAGAGACTTTGTAATCTGATGACTGAACTCATTGTGCATTTTTTTTATTTAGTACTTCAGCAAAGGATCAGATAGAAAGTCCAAACCAGAAGACTTAAATTAACCTCTTTCCTTTTCGTTGTCTAGTTTTACCCATCTCCTCCCTGGATCCAGTAACTCTTGTGGAGGGCCAATCCTTCCGTGTGGCAGCCACCTGCCGGGCTATAGGTCACCCACTTCCCATTCTCTCGTGGGACACGGACATCTCAGGAACGGTCCAGAACCGCACCAGCGAGACTCGGTCAGTGTCCAGCTACTTCTCGCTCCACCCCCTGCGTAGCATGAACGGGAAAAAGCTGGACTGTTTAGTGTGGCATCCTGGCCTGGAGGAGCCGCGTAGGATCAGCAACCGCCTGGAGGTTCAATGTGAGTATAGCTGTGGAGCAGAAGTAAAACAGACTGGAGCTGTGGCATTAAGTGCTGAGTTGCAGAAATAATATTGCTGGTTCAAGGAAGAACAATAGAAGGAACCAGAAAAGTCACAGAGTATGATATGGAAAAATAAGGGAGAGAATGGTACCCCTCACTGGCCCCTTCCCATTCTTTACAGGTCGGGGATCACACATCGCTCATTCTTGCCCGTCAGAAAAACATTTCCTGAAATTATTCAAGCAAAAATAAAATGTGGAGAAGTTAGAATGTTATCTGTTTTTACCAAGTTATTTGGTAGAAAATTCTGTCTCCATACAAGATACAGCTCTATAATTTAGCCTTAACATACAGCACACCAAGCTCGAGCACTGATCAGACGTCTTAAATCACCAGTAGGATCAGTCGTGGTGGATCGTTGCCAGTGAAGCTGTCACCACCGAGTCGCTCACTGATACTGCGACAGTGACAAAAGCGCTATGGCGGTCACCTTTTTTTCCTTCCCCTTGTCTGAAACAAATGTTTCACTTCAAACTTCATTCATGGGAAAGTGCAGGAATGTGAGCTTTGGTTTTGTATACACTGTCCATCTGTCAGACACATGACTTGCAGAAACCAGAGAGCGAAGGGTGTGGATATTGAAAGCAGTTTTAGTCAATTAACCATGAAAGTTTTAAAACAACATGAAATAATTTATCTTGACATTCGTCAGTAACTAATTTGAACATGTACTACACAAAGGTCATGTGTAGTGGTGGCTGATGCCTAATAAATGCCTGGACCTCCTACTGTTTACTAATTTAATTAGTAGATCATCACGCCCCAATACTGCTTTCTCAGTGCCATCCATATTTTGTTTTGGTGTGTTTTGCAGCTGTAAATAGATACTCTGTAAGCTTGCATTGTATGAAGCAGTGTACGTCACTGCAAAGGGTTTTAAATTACCACACTTGTGCTGTTTAGTGCAAACTATATGGTCCTATAGAATATGTAAAGAACTGGGACACGCCTGGCTTTTTAGTTAATAACAGGAACAAATAAAGGAAAAAATGACATAAGTGTTTTTACTCTCAGATTTCTTAAACACTGTTTTTATAGTCCCACCTTTCTCCTTTCACTTGAAGCTTTGCGCTGATCCTTGACGTATCGCGATTTAATCCTTCTTCCCTCTGCTGTTAAATATTTATAGGTTACTACTTAAACCAGCATACGCTGATGTTTTAAAAGCGGAAATTTGAATGCATAACAGCAGTTATGCCAGTTATAGAAGGTAACATGACAAAAACAAACATTACAATCGTGTTTTTTGCAGATTTCTTATAGTATTGTAGAAACTATGAATACTCCCAAATGACAAAAAAGTATTAGATTAAAAAACAACAACATTTCTTCTACATCTCATCCAAAATAATAATATTCACTTCAAATGGACACTTGTTAAATATTCAGCCCATACCAAGAATGGTATGGTGACCTAATAAGTTGGTCCCTCCCTTTTTATGTAGGTGTGTTTGCGACAATACGAAACCACTAAGTTAATATTTATGTTTGAACAACTCCGAAGACTAACACCTGCAAAACACAGCTATAACTAACAGTACTAACCACGCCCATGTTTTTCCTCTAATGGTGTCAAAATGTCGGCATTGAAATCAATAAACATATTACATTTTTAAAGGTTTTTATATTTTAGTTCTATAACCATTTTTGATCCTGCCAAATTCTCCTATAAAATTAATACTTGAGTACAGTATGTATACTACCTGTATATATTAATACCATTACATAAATGAAGATATTATGGTGATGTAGTATAAAAGGAGCATTATGTGGATGGTCTGCCAAACATCAGTCTATCACTGATAACTCAACTTCATGCATCTGAGCAAAAGTTACTTTCAAAATATTACATTTATTCCCTATAACCTGGCGGATTCCTGCACTTTCTTCAGCATGTTTTCATTCTTTGTATCTTTGAGTACCACCTTAATGACTCTTTTTTTTTTTTTGGTGAGTGTGTTGTGGTGGGAAAGACAGAGCTGTATTCAGCATGCAAACTAAATCAGCTCATACTTATCAGCATACTGTATGGAATGACACTGCAGTTGCTCTTTGCTGGGCTATGGGCCAAACTTTAAGCTCTCCCCTTTAATGGGAATGTAAGCCAATTAGATATTTTTGACTCTAGTTGCCCAGCAAATTATATTTATAAGGCTTAACTGTTAGTCTTTGAGATTAAAGAGCTGGGTAAATATTAGCTACTATCGGCAGATTTGATCCTGCGGCGGGAAAGTTTATCAGTAATAGTCTGTCCTTGACTACTGTTACTGTGTAACTGTGCCAAAACTTTAACTGTTCCAACAATTCCTCTTTGTCTGATTTGAAGGACATTTGTTAAAGGTGTGGGTGTGAGCGGTGCCAGCTTGCTTTTAAAATGGGATTAAATACAAGGTTTCAAGCTAAAGTTTTCTGCTAAAATTATGTACTCACTGTTAAAATCACTGAACTGGTGCTCAATACGCTTAGTAATGACTCCAAACCTCCCAGATAACATTTGAAATTTTGAGACTTGCGAAAATCTTTTTGTAGATTTAAGACGAGGAAATAACTTCATCTGTTGTGTTTATGGTGCAAACAAACTTCTTCGTGTCTTCTCTGCTGCTCTACAAAGTTCTCTATTTGATCTATTATGCAGCATAGGAGACACTAGGTTGTGATGCTGCTTACTTAATATTTGTGTTTCTGTGTCAGACCCCCCAGATGCTACGATCACGACGTCCTCGTCTCGTTGGTATGTGGGTTTGGAGAAAGCTGAGCTGGTGTGCGAAGGCAGGGGACACCCCACACCTCAAAACTTCACCTGGACGTGGTACTTTCTGCATTTTCACATACACATCTGTCACTCTGGCAGTCAACAACACTATGATGATATCATGTTAAATCCCACCTCCCCCTTTCTAATACTATTTATGCTGCTAATGTTCTTTTTACATGGCGCTGGAATGTAAGTCAAAACATAGATAAGCCACTGCTAACACGCATACACATGGAGCACACACCTGCAAACAACAAAGGAGTGCGCTCCCATCTAAAGGGGGGGGGGGGGTTCCTATCCTCTGCTGGCTCAAATCACTGCTGAATAAAAGGTGCGGTGTCGCGTTGCGAAATTTCAAGTTAGAAGATTGTGTTTCACACGAGGGAGGGAGTGAGCGACACAAGGAAGAGCAGGAGACACATGCTAAGCGTTTAATCATAGTGCCATGCTTTAAATATCACTCTAATGCCTGGTAAAACACTGGGTCTGTACTTTAATTAAAGACGCCAGCCATTACAGTTCTCCCTGTGCACACAGTGATCAAATGTTTTGTGCTGAGTACTTGGGTCATGAGGCAATCTTGAAATATTAAAGTTGTGCTAGTTTCAACCTCTCCACTAAGCCATCCATCACTGAGGCCCCACTGTGAGGAAATCCACTGATTAATTTTAGTTATAATGTCAGTAAACGTTTTGAAATGTTGACTTTTTTCCCCCTTGTTTGCTTTTTAACAATGTAAATATATAAAAATACAACCATTAGTCAATATGAGTGGCTGACTGCTGGTCTCTCCATGTGAGCATTCACAGAACAAATCTGTAGTTTAATCTGCGTTGAAAACACTGCGTAAAGAAGCAATTTCTCATTTAGTGGGGTTATGTAAAATATTGTTGACTAAGGAAATGATCCTACACGTAAGCCATGTGTGGAATAAATAAACTATCATTTCAGCTTTAAATATAAGAAGTCATGCTAGCTGTTTCTGTGTGTTGAGTCTTAATGCTAAATTCTTGGTTCCACTTTTATATGAATTGGCAGATAACATAAATTTTATCAGCAACCTGTGCATTTCCCACAATGTCTCACTGACTTTGAGTGTGCTGAGGGTGCAAGCCAGACTATTTGAGAAATAGTGGATCTATTTTTCTCAAGAGGCCATCTGTAGAGCTTACAGAGATGGTCATGCGGGTGTTAATTCTCTGGGTGAAAATCCCCTGTTGATGTCAGAGGTCAGATGAGAACGGCTAGACTGCTTTGAGCTGATAAGAAGGGAACAGTAACTCAAATAAGCACTTGTTACAATCAGCATATGCAGAAGAGCATCTTTTAATGCACAATACTATTGGACTAGAGCAGCAGAAGACCAGCCTGGGTGCCACTCCTGTACGAATATCCACTCGATCCATCTCTATCCACAAGACAATATTTTAGATGTAGTGGATGTAGGAGAGTCACAGCATGTACAGTACTGTTAAGTTTTAGGCAGAAAAAAAATGCTGTAAGCAGGCAGCACGGTGGCATGGTGGTTAGCACTGTTGCCGCACAGCAAGAAGGTCCTGAGTTCAATTCCACCATCAGGCCAGCAGGGCCTTTCTGTGTGGAGTTTGCATGTCCTCCCCGTGTTTGCATGGATTCTCCCCGGCTTCCTCCCACAGTCTAAAAACATGCACTTTGTTTGGATAGGTTTATTGAAAAATCCAAATTGCCCATAGGTGTGAATGCGGGAGTGAATGTGAGTGTGAATGGTTGTCTGTCCCTGTGTGTTATCCCTGCGACAGACTGGCGTCCTGTCCAGGGTGTACCCTGCCTCTCGCCCTTTGACAGCTGGGATAGGCTCCAGCGCCCCCCGCGACCCTGAAAAAGGATAAGCGGAAGCGAATGGATGGATGGAAATGCTGTAAACAAAGAATACTTTCAAAGACGGAAGTGTTAATCATTTATTTTCATCAATCAACAAAATGCAGTGAATGAACAAAAATAAAATCTAAATAAAATCAATATTAGGTGTGACCACCCTTTGCCTTCAAAACAGCATCAATTCTTCCAGGTCAGGGGTGGGCAACTGCAGGCCTCAGGTGTTGGTGTCCTGCAGGTTTTAGATGTGTTCTTGATCCAACACAGCGGATTCAAAATGGCTAAATTACCTCCTCAACATGTCTTGAAGTTCTCCAGAGGCCTGGTAATGAACTGATCATTTGATTCAGGTGTGTTGACCCAGGGTGAGATCTAAAACCTGCAGGACACCGGCACTTGAGGCCTGGAGTTGCCCACCTTTGTTCTAGGTATACTTGCACACAGTTTTTGAAGGAGTACTTCTTGTTCATTAAGATAGCTCTTAATGACTTTGGCTGTATGTTTGGGGTCGTTGTCCTGCTGCAGAATACATTTGGGGCCAATAAACAATTATGTTTCTGAAAGCATTCTTTGTTTACAGCATTTTTTTCACACCTACCTACAACTTAGGCATAATACTGTATGTGCAGCCCAAAAATCTGCAGCAGCTGTGTGATGCTGTCATGGGAATATGGACCCAAATCTCTGAACAGTGTTTCCAGAATCTTGTTCAGTCTCTTATGAGGAGAAAGGGGCCATCCAACCAGTACTAACAAGGTATACCTAATAAAGTGGCAGATGAGTGCATATTTTATTAATCAGAACAACCCTAAAAATATAGAATGTGTATGTACAACAAGTGTATCAAATTCACAAATGCCTTTCTTGATCTTCTTATAGCTGCTTTACGTTGCTCCAAAGACAAAGTCATTGTTAAGTGTAACAGATAATACCATAAAACATGTAATTTGCGTTATCTAGTAAACTTTTACTTTGGCACTATCGAGGCCAGCTACTTTAGTTTCACAATATGTTTTTATGTATAACTCATGTAGTGAAACTATATTGTACTACTCTAGTTTCAGTCATTTCACAATAGGTCTTTGCTTCATTGCACTGATACTGTGGTAAGTCACAAAAACAATAAGTCACGGGAGAGATTAGAATCTTTTTGGCCAGTGAAGCTGTATTGCACACCATATCTGTATCATTTCCACCATCCTCGCTGTGTCAGATGCAATCTCCACCTGTGACTCGATTTAGAAAAGGCTGGTCAGAGAAGCTAGGCGGGGTGTTGAGAAAAGAAATCTGACCCGGGGCGACTTTGACGGGGGGATAAAGCAGTAGGTAAATAGCTGGTGGAGCACAGTGAAACCAGGGGGGAATATGACCCCTCTCAGTGGACCTGATCAGAAACTGCCTCTATTATGTGGCCTGTACAATTTAGGGCTCAGAAGTTGGGCTTGTTTCAATCCCCCAAACCTAGTATTTACCTGGTTTATACAGATGAGCCCTGCATGCTTTGGTTCAGGTGGTTTCACTCTGTGATGAACCTGATCCTTCAGAGTGTTTACTAAGCGGATAACTTCCTTGATTCAAACCAGTTTTTGCATTTTCCTGTTACTTGCAAGCAAACGTCATTAGATATTTGTATATTTCCAGCTCTCTGGTTTGAACTCTGCTCCTTTCATTTTGTTGTTTGCAGCTATGAGCCAAAGCTGTTGTTTCAAACAGTGAGTCACAGGCTTCTGCGTAGTTCACCTCTCTGTGACATCTGCAAGTTAATGGTAACATTTTTCTTTTGATTGCTTGCAGGAAAGGGGGAGCTCTGCCTGACGGGGTGTCTGTGGTTGGAGGGAAGCTCCTCTTTCAGCGGCCCGTTCACTTGAGTGACAGTGGGGCCTACGAGTGCATGGTCACAAACAGTGTGGGAAGGGGAAAAACTGAGTATATGCTCAATATAGATGGTAAGTGCAATAAAGCTAATTTTGCATACATTTTCATGGGATTTAATGGAGAAACTGTTCTGCTGCTGTGAGCTTTGTTGATGTTTTTGCAGGTGGAAATTTAGACTTGTTTTCCAAACTCCTTCTGAGTTGGTGTAATTTTGAACATTTGCTGCCCCCTCTTGTTAGATACAAGGCATTAACAGTTGAACTCAGTCTGGATTACAAAAAAAATATTAAAGGAAAGATGTAGCTGTGTTGTTGTTGAATGTATTTATATGCGAGAGAGTCATCGGATCTTTTCATATTTTTATATTTTTTTAGAGATGCAATGGCGCATTGGCGAAACCCCTCCTGATAACCTGCTGCTGATCATAATTTGTGCCTCCACCGGAGGTTTAATCCTCCTCCTGATCATCATCATCTTGGTGGTTCACTGCCATCATCGACGTAGAACGAACAAGCTTAAGAGAGAGCTATGTGAAAAATCGTGAGCTAAAGCACATATTGTTAAAGAAGGCTTTTATTAATAACTTCAACTGGGATTTAAACTGATCTATTTTGTCAACATGCAGGTTTTCCATAAATCCTCAAAATGTGTGTGTGGTTTTTATTTTTTTTCTCCCAGGGATGAAATTAGGAGTTTCTCTAGGCAAGCCTCTTTCAGGAGAATAAACTCTACCAGCACAGACTTCAGATACCAGGTAGGAATACGCACACAGACAGACACACACACTCTCCTGCTGACAACAATAACCTGCAAGCTTGAAGGAAGCCAGGTTGACACACCTGTCCTGCTCGGGTGGAGCCGCTGGCAGCTCAGGCTGATGATTACAGGCTGCTGCAGCTTCAAACAACACTGAAACGTGCAGCGTTCATAGACACATATCATTAATATCTCTTTTTTGGCGGTTTGTTATATTCCTCTTCGTGTTCAGGTTCACTAATTTTTTGCGACTTTCTATTTTTCTCCAGGGTGAAGACTCCATGCTCAGAATAGATAGCCGAATGAAAAACAGCCAAATGTCTCTGGTGAGTGTCTCACTGTGATGAAATATATCCAGGTAGAATACTGCTGATCTTGGTTCTGCCTGCGCTGTCTCTAAGGAATTGTTCATATAGCTGCTTCTTTCTAATGTTGAAGGTTTTTTCAAAATAAAATGCTTTAAGATCTTGTCTCACATTTGCACTTTATCATTACATTGAATGTCCTCTCCCTGCCTACAGGAGCATACCCATTCCACTCTGGGTGGGAGGTGGGGGCCAGGAGATGTAGAACTGGATGAACTGGGACGTCCGGTCATCTGGTGTGAAGGCAGCGATATTCCAGGAGGAGCTGAGGTTGACGGAGGGAAGGAGGCGCAAAGGAACAGGGTGGAGTCATACCTGAAGAGCAGTAGCAACATGTCGCTGGTATGTGTCAGCGTCTGAGAGATTAAGTTTGAAATGTGTTTCGATTTGTTTGTAATGTATCATATGGTAACGGCATGCTGTATTTATTTCTGAGTTTGCATCGTCACTGAGGGTGACGTGGTAAAACAAAAGGGATTCAAATGACAGGAAACATTTTAGGAAACAACAGCAAGAAACGTCATCTCTGTTTTATTAGTCACTTTATAATTGTTCCTGTCTTCTACAAATGATGACGCTTTATTGGATTTATTTAGAAACAGGATCAGGAATGTAAACATGACTGTTTTGTTAAATCTGGATTACAATCTGATGTCGTCACGACCAAAGCTTCACTTAGAGGTTTCATACAAAAGAGATTGAATACCAGTGTGCATTCTCTCCTAGCAATTATTACCACAAAAAACATCATAAGAAATATTGGATGGTAGGATATGGTCCATGTTGTGTTAGGAGCTTTTTTTTTTTTCTTCTTTTTTTTTAAACCTAGACTTCTACCTCAATAAACTGGTTTTCACTGATCCCATAGACGGTTTTGGTAGAAATATAAAGTTTATCTACAGATTATCCAGCTTGAATTTGGATTTTTAGTGCAAGTATCATAAACCCAGTTTTATCCCCTCTGTGCCTTTTTCAGTCCAACTTCAATTTTTTGGTTATATAAAGGGGACCTATGATGCTCATTTCCAACTAAATATGTATTCTTGGACTCCAGTAAAATAGGTTTGCCTGACTCATAGTTTATCCTCTTTATGGGGCAATCCATTTTAGCCATTTTCTTTCTTAAGGCCACCATCTCCTAGCCAACTTTCATGTGATTGGCTGATCATACAGAGCCAAAACTAGAATAAACAGTGTGAAACTAAGTGGTAGAGCAGATTGAACCCTGAGGTTTTGGCTTGCAGGAATTACCTGTTCATCTGCTGAACTCAGTGTTTAAAACTTCAGTTTCAACATTAACTGTTGTAACTGTGTATTTGAGAGAAAATAAGGAAAGGCATAATAGGTCCTCCTTAATATTGGTAACTTTCAGGACAAATCAGGAAAAACAGTATTCTATTTTTATACTGTTTCTACCAGGACTCAGGTCTTCCTTCATCTTTGGTTCCTCTGAAGGCTCAGCAGGATGACGGCAGCGGGCCCAGAGAACCAGACGCCTGCCAGCCCAGGGAGAGAGAGGACTGGGTTCCCACACAGTGTGAAGGACACGACAGTGACGAAGATGGGAGCCACTACCAGTTATCACAGACTCTCAGGAATTACTTTGACTACAGCAATGGGGCCATCAGGCCCAAGCCAAGTAACAATTCCATTATTCTACACCCCAGAGGACAGCTGATCTAGACAGGACTCTCATCTGTGATATGAAAAGAGAGACTGTCTGTATCTCTGCAGTGACTCTGACTGTGACGTTTGATGTTTGCTTTGAATATATCGGAAGGGTAATTCGTCTCAGGTACTATCCCAATGCTGATTGTTGATTTTTTACTTTAGAGATTCTTCCTTATTTCTGTTAATCAAAAGAAGGTTATGAGTTGTTCTTTTGAGCATTTTATGACTTCATCAGTGAGGTAATAAAAAAGAGATGAGGAATAATTTGGGGGGAGAGAAAAAAAAAGTCCTGAGCCAGATACGACTGGTATAGTAGAACTGGAACATTTTGGACCACTAATGTAGAATTAAGTTTATAGAGAGTTTTGCCCTGAAAGGTATGCAAATGAAAAGTATTTTTGTTCTTTAAGGTATTGTATTAAGAATCCTGTTACAAATGTTTACTATGTTTGGTGCAAAGCTGAGTTTTGCATCCAGTGCTTCTTGTTTAAATACATGTGAATAGATACAAAGGACTTGAGAATCCTGCCTCATGCAGGACAATATGTATATATTGCATATGTTTATATACACTGATCATCCACGACATTAAAACTGTTAAAAGGTGAAGTGAATAACATTGACTCACTTGTTACATCGCTTCGCCCTGTAGAGAAACCTTAGATCTGGCGACTCCACATCACAAAAATTATTTGAGGAACTTGGCAAAGAGTCCAAGGTGCTGATACAAACTATCAGCTCCTCAGATCCAAATTGAATTCAGGTTTTTGAGGCTGATACTCGCCCAAAGGATCAAGTAAAGACACCCTCAGCGATCCAGTGCTCTTGCCCCGATGGGTCAGTTATTTCTACATTGTTTCCACATTAACTCTTGCACATTAGGTGTTCTTATGTTAATGTCTGATATATGTGTGTGTGTACATTTGTTTATTAATACATCTTTACAGCCACCTGCTGCTGTCAGCTTAAAAAAAAAACCTCGTTAATATGAAGAACAAAAGAGACGATGCTGAAAGTTCTTTGGCCAGCTGGTGTTGAAATGCAGCAAACTGGGTCAGTTTCATCTATATAACTATAACTTTTTAGTGCTGTAAATACCTTTTGTAAAAAAAAGAAACATTGTGATGATACAAATACAGTGTAAATTTTTCTATGCTTTTTTTTTAAGAAGATCAGGAAGTGATGTGTATATGTTGAAAATCTTTATTTGTAAAAGTGCAGCTTACAAACATTCTTTTAAAAAACACTGGAACATTAAAGCTACTTCGGGAACTTCATGAAACAGTAGAAACTTTATGGGTTATTCTGTTATAGGTTGATGAATTTAAATAAATTTTTTATTGAAGAAAAAGTTAGGATTTTTGAGAAATATTGTTTTTCTTGTTATTTATAGATTCAAACACTGATACTACCTTCATATTTTACTAATAAAGGCATGGAAGACAATTAACTTTGATGCAAATTAAAACATGGTTGTAGTTTTAGCAAGTGTTTACAGGACAGATCTTTGCTTGGCCAGATGCCCTAACTCTGTTATGAGGTTATTAGGGACTAGCAGGTCACTGCATTTGGCTAAGAAATAACCCATGGCATTACTACTGTAAAAAAGATCCTAGAACTAGTACAGGCCACTGTATTTGGCATTAATTTTGTACTGGAAATAACACTGTACCTGTAGGGGGAGTCTTAAATGCACTAAGAAGATTGAATAAACATGAAAGTACTGAGACTGTGCTTATTATGGTGACAAATGATACTAAGAACTGCGGATACTGATTAATATTTTGTTCATGTGCTGCTTGATTTAAGTTCAGTTGACACAGTAGACCATAAAACTTTGAGAGGCTCCAGGTCTGGGTTGGTAAAGGTCAGATGGTTTAGGTCATATTTGACAATCCAAAAATTTTTGTTTTCATTGGTGACAAACTGCTCTCCTTACTCTATAATAAGTTGTGGAGTTCCTCAGAGATCCATACTGGGACCTATCTATTTTCCCCCATCATATATGCTACCAATGGAACCTTAGGAATATCCCAAGAATAAACTGAATGCTGAGTTTTACTGACTCTCAGACTATTATTCATGCTTTTATTTCCTCTCAGTTGGGTTTTTGTACTGGTTTTTCAAAGGTACCAATCAGAGATAACAATAAATAGACTTCAGATTGTGCAAAATGCAGCTGTAAGACTGCATTTTGCACATGTGAACATATTATCCCAGTTTACCCCTCTACAATTCAATTCAACAGTCGCCACATGCTGCTTTATATTGTAAGGTACAGACCCTACAGTATTACAGAGAAAACCCAAAGAATCATATTCTGGATGTCCAATACTTTTACAATTGATTTTAAGATTTAACTTATTACTTGTAAAGGCATTTAGGCTTGGACCGAGATTATATACGTAACAGGTGGGGAACTCAGGCCTCAAGGGCCGGCGTTCTGTAGGTTTTAGATGTGTCCTTGTTCCAACACAGCTGATTTAAATGACTAAATTACCTCCTCAACATGTCTTTTAAGTTTTCCAGAGGCCTGGTAATGTAGTAATCATTTTATTCAGGTGTGTTGACCCAGGGTGATATCTAAAACCTGCAGGACACCGGCCCTTCAGGCCTGGAGATCCCCAGACCTGATATATGTGAACAGCTGTTTGCTGTACCGACCAGTGTGCAGCCTGAGATGCTCAGGCAGAAACCTGTTAACTGTTCCCACCTCATGCTTAAACCAAAAAGGCGATCAAGTGTCTGCTTTTAGGGCTCCATGGCTGACTCGTTTATATTGTAAGATTATTTTTTTAATACTGGTATTGATAAGTGCTACACAACCAAACATTATCATTTCACTAGGCTGCAGCTGCTCTCCAAGGTTGGAGCTGACATGGACAACTGTTGCAAACCTTTGGCTGTCACCCTACAACTATAGCCCAGTTAGAATCTGCCCCCTACTGCTTGATGATTGTGAGTGTACATGTAGTCACTCTTGAGGTTGTTGAAGGGTCTTAATTAAAGTATTGGGTACAAATACAGTTGAAAACTCTGTGATGCCCTTATCTCTGTGATGAAACTTACACTCAGCGTCTTTGATGTTTTACACAGATTGGAATTAAGATGATGCCAATCACTTCACAATTCTCATTCTCCTTCCATTTTTATTAAAAAAAATCAATAACAAAGATGTTACAGCCCTGGGCCTTGGAGGGAGTGAGACTGCCCTTTTGTGTTCATGCAAATCTAAGTGTGCCAGGACTCGTGGATGATTGGCTGCTGGGAGTCCTGTGCCAGCCCTCTTTTATCCAGATCACAGTGTGCCAAAGGCAAAGCCTTTGCCTTTAGACAATAATTCTGATGGCAAAAGAGCCAAACGGGACAGGCAAAAAAAAAAAAGATCACAGTGTGCCAGACCTCGTGGACGATTGGCTGCCTGGAGATCTCATGACCACTCCATGACCAATTGACTGGCTGATTGTCTGCACCTGGGAATATAAAAAGCTGAAGAGCCTTCACACTATGGGGAACTGCTGCGCTGAAGTGAACATGCAGTGGCATCCTCGTCTGCTTTGCATGTGAAGCTCGTTTGTTAAACCTGTTTGCTGTGTTGCTCTTTGTTTAAACCTGGTATACAGCTAAACTTAGTTTCATTAGAGTTTTGTGATGCTGGCTTGCCTTAGTTAACCCTTAGCTTTTATTTTGTGTGCTGCCAGCTTGCCTTAGTTAACCCTTAGCTTTTACTCTTGCCTGTTCTTTTCATTGTGTATTAATTGTTTCCCCGGTGGTCTGTTGAACAGCCCTGTCGGTTTTCAGTTTAATGTTTGTAATAAAACCCCTTATTTACTCAGATTTCGTGAGAGGGCTTGTGTATGTTTCTCCCCTCCTGTCGCCTAGCAGAGGGGGTCGTGACATAAGGCTTTTAAAAAAAGAATACAGAAATCATATCTGTAAGCATGTGGAGTTTGTTCCTAAGGATATATAAAATTTGTGGTATATGTTAAATTCTCTTACATTTGTTTTGAGCCCAAGAGGACACACAAACCCAGCCTCTGAGAATTACAAGCTCGTGTACTCTTTGTGCCAGGGAGTCTTTTGTTGGGATGGCAGTTGTAAACTTGGTGCCAGTTCAAACATGCACTGTGATGACCCCTTAGGAAATAAGTGAGCAGCTGAAAGTACCTGTCCCTCCACATACCAGACAAAAATGATGTTTTACTGTAAGGAATGAAGTTGATAAAACTGAATTAAGGCTGATGTTACATTAAATGGCGTTATTTAATGCTAGGTTTAGAACAACACTCAATGTTTCTGACCCTCCAAGTGAACAAGCAAAGTGTGTACGGGGAAGGGCTTAAGCCTAGGGCTACAAAGTCTACATCTCCTACCATGATTGGCTCTGGATCCTGTGGAAAAACTTTGGAGGAAGTACCCGAATGTTTTGGAAGTTAAAGATTCTTCAGAATGGGGAAATTTTTAACTCGACTGACCCATGAACATCTAAGCTGCAGTGCAAGGCTGAACAACATGTTTTTTTCCTCTACAAACAGAACATTGAAATCTTAGTTTATCTTAATTTTCTGCTTAGGCAGCATCACAAACACAATTTAGGCTGTCGTGTGGTGACCAACAAATTCTTTGTCCTTTATTTATTTTTTTTTTACATCCTTAGTGCTCTGTGGTGAACTAATTTATCAAATGTCTTGTGACTTTCCCTCACCATCTTTCCATCAGGGCGAGGAAAACTAAGCGATTAGATGCTGGATTTTTCCTGTCTAGCTTAAACTGAATGTCTTAGAGGTCATATGTTCCTAGTATGTCATATGTGTGTTAAAAACCTCTTTTCTGGCAGTTCATATGTTCCTGTTTTAGTTCTTAAAAGCCACACTGTGTCAAAATTTTTGTTTATTTCACAAAAAGAGGGCACAGTTAAATCAGTCTGCTACATTATTTTTCCAGAAATATCAAAAAACAAACAGAATTTGTTAATAAATCTAGATCTAAAAGCCACTTAGATATTTCTAGCTTTTCTTCAAAATCTACTGAATTAAACTGCGTTCTGTGCGAGAGCCTCTTTGTGAGTCCTTTGATGAGTGCGAAGGTTACTCCTCTGAGAAAAGCACTTGCCACACGTGTCGCATGTGTACGGTTTCTCTCCTGTGTGAATTCGCTGGTGTATCTCGAGGTGGCTGATGCGATCAAAGCTCTTCCCACAGAACGGGCAGATGTACCACTTCTCCCTAATGCGGCGCCCCGCTATAGTTTTGTGCAACTCTGGGTCGTTTAAATGAAAGAGTCTGTTGTCTGTGTTAAAGGTTGACATGTTTTTAGTCTGTGGTTGCTGTTTTTCTGAGAGGAATCTAATGGACATTCCTCTCTCTGAGTGATTTATTGCTTCTATAGGTTGACTTGGCTGAGACTGGCTGAAAGTCACAGAAGCCCTTGATTTACTTGATGCACCTTGAACCGTTTCATTGTCCCTCATAAACCTGTCCGAGTATGCTCCCTCTGCTGAATTATCGAAAATGTCCAAGGCATTTTGAATGAGCAAGATTTCGGAGTCCAGATTTTGAGACAACTGCTTTGTTTCGAAAAAGCACTCCGAGTCATCCGCAGTGTCGTTGTCTCCCACCGAAACAGTCAGCCACTGCTGTGACTCTTGCTCTTCCACAACCTCAGCAGGCTGCTGGTTCAAATTCATCTCGTGGGGACCTGCTCCACTGTTAACGCTGTGATCAGAGTCCACGACCTGCTCCACGATCTGGACGTCATCCTCGTCTTCTAGTTTGACTACTAAGTCTTCGTCATCTTTGCCCTCACTGTCAGATTTGCGCTGCTCACTGCGTTTCTCTTCTGTTTGAGGAGGTGATGACGTTCCCCGATTTGGTGAAACATCCACCTTATCTCTCACGCTCTGATCCGAAGACAAAGTCTGGACCGACTCTATCGTAGGCCCTGAAAGGACACAGCAGATTGTTTAAATTGTTAAAGGAAAATCAAAGTTCCCTTAAAAAGTCATTTTTTAAAACAGGTTAATTTTATAATTAATCGCCTCAGCAACAGAGGCAGCAAATACTGTGAATTGTAAAGAAAGGTACCCAAATAACATGCACCTGCTTCATTACAGCGCTGTCTGAAAATGTGACTTTAAACACTGGGAAACTTTTTGACTTGAGTAAGTAACAAGCAGATACACCAATGCTTTTAATGACTGTTAGCTGCAGGGACAGTCAAGCCAACTACAATGACATATCACTAAGAAAATCATCATATCACAGTGGAAAAGCTGGCAGTAGAAAGTATTTGACAAGTTTTCCTACAAAATGGCAAAAGTCACTTAAAACATTTTCTGCCTGTTGA